AATTTTATAATTAATTGTAAAAATGTGAAAGTATTTACAAACCTCACTATGCACATCCACTAGACATGAGTGCACTTCGATCTTTGACCAATTAATAATATATGATTATTGAGACAAAAAATTCATAAAGAAAACGTGTCTAAATTGTAGGATAAAGAAAAATAGACCTACCACAAATATTCAGCCAAGATTTATGAATGTTTGGCCTATTCTGCAAAGTCCTTGATGTATAGCTAGGCTAAATACATATAATTCCATTATTTGTCATATGTTGGAAACTTATGTAAAATATATTAGAATATAAAGATTTAGGTTTCCTTTAGTCCTTACTAAAACCTGCTTAATTTTTATTTAGGCAATAGTAGGCCCTTAAAAGTACTTAATTTTGGTTCAAAGTTTTCTAAAGTCCTTAATTTCCAGTATCACTAGTTAATTCAAAAAAATTTTTAGTCTTACAAAAGTTTAAAACAACAAGTACAGCATTTAAAGAGGCAGGAAGGGGTGTGTGTACGTGAAGAGTAGCCTAGCCTTTTGACAAAGGGAAGGAGCATGCTCTTGGTTCTTTAAATTAAAATATTATTTTTGCTTCGAATGAGATCCCATGTGAAGAGTTGAGCATTCTGAAAATGTGTGGGGGAGCAGGATACTGTAATCTACTAACAGTTGGTTAGAATTTCTGTTCTTTTTTATGACATATTTGTGTGCATGTTGAAAAGTACCAAAGTTGCTTGCAAAAATATAACCTGTTCTGACACAAAATAAAATACAATTTCTATTGCCATACATTGACCTTTATGGCCCTCAAGCTGTTCACACTAAGTTTTTAATTTTGTTTTAAATTTTTATTTAAAAACAAATTGGATTTCCCTTTATGTGCAAGGGTCACTTGGAAGGAAAGTTTCCTATACTCTATAAACCCCTTATCCTCCCCCCAAAAGAAAAGATTTATGCAGATTTATTTCCTAGAATGATTCATTACGAAATATATAGCAATGTTTCAGTTACTTCTCATATTAATAACACATGTCATATCTTAGGATAATTTTGATTTTCAGTATCATAAAAGTTAATTTTGGCAGAATTTTTTGCAGTCTTTCTGCAACAAACCTTACTAGCACTAATATCTTTCTGCAAGATATTTTAAATGGTAATAATCAAAAAAATATATATGTTACTAATTTATAATAAGGGGCCTTATGTTTTAATAAATGGCCTACATAAGCATAATATAACTATAAACTTTTTTTTAAAATTTTAAAGCTAAAGTTTAAGTTTTTAATGAAAATGACCGCTTTTTAACTGAAATAAATTATTCATCGGTAGTATAAATTATTCATGATAGTAGAATTACATAATACAGTTTTCTTAATCATTTGAAGAATGGTTCCTGTATTCTCTTTCTTTACTACTTTGAAAGTTACCAGCTTTTTTAAAATCTTGTTTATGTGAATATTCAAAAAGTGCACAGGATTATGGCCAATCGTAGTTGGAGGTTATGGAGGACCCTCTCGCCAATTCTTACCTCTCTGGTATGCACGAAAAGCAATCTGCATGGAAGGAAATAAAACTTTCTCGAGACTTTCTGCAGAAAAGGTTTTTGCAGAGCAATTTTTGTTTGCACCAAACTTGGGCAGAGGGGAAAAACGAAACAAAATAATTTTCCCAAGTAAAAAAATTTTCTGCATAAACTCTAACATTCTGTGGCATTTTCACGATTTTGCCATGGGAGCCACTAATATGCCACAATTGTCTGCACGGCGATGTGGGATGTAAATTAAGTGTGAGACCTATGTAATGAATCATGCACACTATACTTAAAATAAAAAAGAAATCTTTCTTTCTAAGAATTTTTTGTAATTTAAATTGCTTTAGGACTTTCCACTCTAGCTAGCTATTTTTACTGTTTTTATTATTATTGAAATTGTTTGAAAAAGGCTTATTTCATAAAAGCATTAAAAAATGATCATAGATGTAAGTTATGTTACGTGTAAATGAAGAAGGTAAAAGTGATACTCTAATGAAAGATTTCCTCAAAACTTTTGTTAAATTTGATTTTATAATTGAGTTTTTAATTCATTTACTGTGAAAAGATACACATGATCCATATCACTAAACTCGCCAAAAAAGGCAATAAAGTCACAAATATTCTAGAACCTGGCTCCTAAGATTAATTTCTAGCTCCAATTTTTGTCAGTCCCTGATTATGACGAATAATATTTTTAAAAATATTTCGCACTTCCTCTATTATATTTTGGAAAACGTCAAACGAAACTCATTAATAGGTATCAATTCACTTGAAGTTCCATTTTCTTTTTCCTTTCTCTTGAATGATATTCAATTCAAAATATTGTATGAAGCATTTACAGTAAATAGACATTTACAAAGCCCATTGATGGTACCAAACTTGGTAAAGGTTATGTCTTATTTAAATGAAATAAATATGTAGTTTTTCTTCTTCATTTATTTATAAATTTTTTTTCAAGTTAAATGCAAAAACAAATATTTCATGCTCCACATGAAAATTCCAAGTTCTGCAGATAAAGAATCACTTATGTGGTAACTAGCTAGTAGTTAAGTAATTCAATTTTTTTTTGTTAATTGAGGGTTCATAAGTGCTTCTGCTAGCACTTATGCTTCTGCAATCTGCTAGCACTTATGAACCCTCAATTAACAAAAAAAATTTCTGTGTTTGCTTAGCAAATCTAATGGGATTTTTTCATGATGTTAGGTGGCAATCTTAAATAATTTTGAGGGTATTGTAAATGCAGTGAGTTAAATTATAAGGTACTACAGCTTTCGGATTTTTCAAAAGCTTTAGATTCTTAAATTTCAAAATAAACTTTAAAATAGTTTTAAATAGTGGTTTTTATTTATTATTTTTTTATGAACAAATATCTATCTATCATGTACTCTATTTTATTCGAAGTCCATTACATATAAATTCCAAGAAGAAAATTATTTTTAGGGGCAGATTTATAACTATAATGGTTTATACAAAATAATTTATTTTTACACGTTTAAATACAAAGAAAATTATTTTTAGTTAACTTTCGTTTACCCAATTTTACTTTACAGAATTTTGAGCTGAGTTGTAAAATACTCCATTTTCACAGCACTACAAATGATTTGTGCTCTTTGCTTTAAGTTTTTAAAAATAAGTGTAAAACTGCTCAAGAAGTTATTGAATCCTGAAAACTTGGAATAGATAAACTTTTTTTCTTTCTAATTTTGTAATTATAATTTTCAAAGAATTTGGCTACTCTGAATTTCATAAAAAAGAAAAATTTTCTGGCCATTTTTATTATTTATTCTCATAATAATTTAATGTCATTATATTATCAACATAATCTGATATCTCTTGGTGACCTTAAATCTGAGCTAATGAGGCTTATGTTAAGATACTCAAGAAATATAATATTTAATTGACATTTATCATCAGAATTTAGTAGCCCATTCTCAGTTTTGCATCTTTTCTCTCTCCTTTATCTGGTAAATTTAGTATGCAGCCCACTTATCTTAAGTTTTTTTATATCTAGATATTTCAAGAAAATAATCATGACTCTAAAAATAAGTTCTATCTTTTTTTTTTTGAAATTATTTATTATGGGAATTTTTTTAAATGTATTTTATTGTTAAGTTATACATAATTAGAAGGCAATTTTCACTAGACAACAACGGAAACAAAGAGCACTGTTGGCTACAAAAAGTTGTTAACTGTTTTTTATTAGTTTTTAGTTAATTTTTTTATTTATATGGCTTCCAAATTCTCTAAATTTTGTGAGAGATCTTTTCAAAAAAATTTGTTTTAGGTATTGCATATTATTTTAAACATTAAATAAATACTTGTACTTAAAACGTTAGAATAATAAATAATTTTCATTAAACAGTTATACAGGGTGAGCCTGTCAAACCTGCATTTTTGAAATGACTGTAAAAAATAAACAGACGTATATTTCAAAATTTTATTGTTACTGTCTTAATCTACATTAAAAAGCATTTAAGAAACAACATTTACTGTTTAAAAATAAAGCCAGTAAGATGGTGTCCTTCCCAATCGAGACATTCTTGTAGGCGATTTCTGAAACTGCACATCACAGAGCATACGCTGAGGAGTTCTCTCGATCACCAATTGCTTCAAAGTTTTTTGCCCAAAATTTGATTGAATTAACAGACTGCACTGGCCTATTTCGATTAATTTGAACATTCGTCCGGAAACAACGCTGAGCGGCTGCACAACTACCACTTTAGTAAAACGCTTTCACAGCGAACGAACGTTGTTGTTTAGACCACTGCTCCATGCCGACTGAAATGCTTAGTTGTGGGGGGACACAATGGTAACCTGTGTAACTCGCTCAGGCCCACTGTCACGGCTTTCCCTCCCTTTTCAAAAATGTAGGTTTGACTGGCTCACCCTGTATGTGAAGGAATGACAATCGACCAAGAAACCATTATCTTTAAGGGAATCATCAAACTATCTTTATAGATCTAAATCAAGAATCACCTAATTACTCTGGTGAACAAGGATTTTTTTTGCCTTGAGTTTTTGCATTTCTAAAAACTGTCTCTAAAAAAATAAAACATTTATTAAATTTGTATAATTTGTTTATCAAAATCTAGAATTAAGGAGAAATAGATAATAATTTTTTAAACTTAGCTATAATATGCATATATTAAACTTAATATTTATATATGTGTATACTTTCATATACATGTATTGATGTTGAGCTGAATCTGTTGATCTTCCTTGTTACAACTTTGAAGGGATCATATTTTATGCATTGCCAAGTTGTCAAAGAGGAATAATATAAAAAAAGATACAGGCAGAAGTGATGTAAAAAAAAGGGGGGGGGTATAAACCACTTTATATCATGATTTATAATAGTTTTACTCTGTAAATTGAATAGAAATATTTTTTCAATGTTTTTTACTGTTTAATGATATTTTATTGTTCATAGTGCATTTATTATTTTATTTATTCTTTTATTGGTGTCATTCTTTAGAGGCTTAGAATAAATATTTAGAACTACAAGGCATAATACGATCTGCATAGTAACTCCTCTTCCTGGTATCATGTTTCCAATTATTCCATCACCAAGAATAGTATAAGCTGTCCAGTAGCGAGAGAATTAAAATTGAAAAAGTATAACTTCTAAATTATTTTGTATTGTATCTATATATTATTTTGTATTGATATTGTAAGTTGCTGAACTTTTAAAATATGTTATTTTTTAAATTTTAAGAGTATGAGTTCATAAATTACATTCAATCATAAATTACTTGATTATTATGTTTAAACATTTTTGGAACTTATTTGTTCGGAGAGAATGGGGCTAAAAAAAAACCTATATTGTGACCTTTTGTGCAGTTTTCGGGAAACGATTTACATCAGCCTCGGGTTGTGGTGATGAGTATGGTTACGAGAAAAAGTAACTTTGAATAGTCGTATGGGGTGAATAGTTTTGTCTTAATTTTGCCATAGGTCGGCCAATTCACACCATCATTCCTCTATTGCACCCTCATTCGAAGTGTATTGTCACCATAGCAGCAGGCAACCCTATGTCTAGAGCAGTGTTTCTCAAAGTGTGGTACCCATACCCCCAGGGGTACAGGAACAGTTTAGCAGGGGTACACGCTCTTATGCGAAAGATCTTGCAACAAACAAAAATTTCAAAATGTTTAATTTAAAAACAACACTAGCCATGAAAATTTACGATTGTGTATTTTTCTATTGGCTCTTTTTTGCAGAGTTGACACTTAATAATTAGTGGTGTTAACAGCCAGTTGTGACTTTAAACTTTTGTGCAATTGTTTTACTGTTAAAAATACATTCACTTCTTTATTAGTGGTACACAGTGTTACGAAAAATATAGAAAAGGTACATAAAAGTCATAAGTTTGTGAAACACTGGTCTAGAGAAGTTCTCCTCTAAGCCGCATAGTACCTATATTGGATACCTATTTACTACAATTACATTATTGGTATCAGTAATAGTATATAGATTTTTAATGCCATCCCCCTTAAACAAATAAGTATCCTATTTTTTCCTATAAAATTTTTTTAAATATATGCAGAGTACGAACAAATAATATTGTACATTCATTGTAATGTACAATTATAGTACTAATATTAAAATGCTCTTATGAAGAGTTTGCAAGAACTCATCTATGCATTTTTTCCTCCTTTAGATTTATGGTTTTAGAGAAACCATATAGGTTCAGTACTAAGTAGACAGCTTGTGTGTTGGCCACTCTCTCTGAAAACAGGGAAAGCTTGGAATTCTTCATGGATGAAAAACCTGAAATTGAATCAACTGAGAATTCTTGGAAAATTATGATTTATAAAATGATCACAAAATTGCAACTTCAGTGTGTTTCGATCCATTATTTGTCATTACATCTTTTAAGTAACTAATATTTTAATAAATAATTCTAATTAATAATTTTGTTAATAAAATTTTTTATTAAATAAGCATTTTAAACTGAATTCTTTTGAGAAATTAAGGTAATGAACGTTTTTGAAATCAATTTATATCATATGTACTTTAAATAAGAGAAAATAATAATTTTGATTTAGTTGAGCAGAAATTATCAAGTTTTTTTGTTTATATAATATTTTGGTAATATATTTTAATTTTTTTTTTTAAATATCAAATTTAAGTTTAAGAAATTTTACTTCTCTAAAAATTGTCTGTTACACTATTTTTCGATTAAAATTGCACTTACATAAACCTGCTAAATTTATGGAAATTTTCCCTGGAAAATAAGGTTTTATCTAGAGAGTGGCCACTTGAGCTGATAATAGCATAGCATTCTTGTAGGATTTATCATGATTTCAGTTTTGCATGACAACATAAAAAACAAGCATAAAATGCTGTATGTTTTCAAAGTTAATTACCAAAAAAATACAAAAGTTTTTTAATTACCAAATGATATGAAGTGTCATATTTTGAAAGTGTTACTAGTTGTGTAAATTTTTTTTTTTTTTAATTTTAGTAAACATAAATCAGGGATATAAAGTTTTGTAATCTAGTTCTGTTTAATTATTATTTTTAACTGTTATGTTTAAATTATTATTTTTACATCAGTTTTAATATATTCAATATATCAATTTTAAATAAATTAAGAAAAATCAACAATTGGAAAGAAAAATTAATTTCTCAAAAGATTAAAATTATTCTAGTTCTTCAATATTTAATAAATAAAAAAATATAGTAAAACTTAATTTTTTAATTACATAAGAAATTTTTAAAATGTAATCAAATCACATGTTAAACAAGGGGTATCTGCACACCTGGAAAATCATGAATTTCAGTATTGAACAAAATTAGTCATGGAAAGTCATAGATTTAGTTGCCCAAAATTCTAATTTTTCAAAAAGGAATTTACCACCCCCCTCCCAATTTCATGGTGCACCGAATATCTGAATTTGTAACAAAATGCTAACTCAGTCATATTTTGTTAAAATATAAAATGTTTTCATGTTCTTTAAAAATTATGGTGTTCTTTCAAAAAATGAATTTTTTTTAATTTTTTACCATTTCTAGAGCCAAAAACATCATTTCTAAGCATGATTTTTCAAACTTGTGAATTCAGAATTTTTGTTATTTTTTTAATTTATCTATATAAAATTCTAGCTGAAGCAAGCCAGTCATTGGCGAATTTTTTTATTCCGAAATGAGAACAGAAAAATGAGGAGTATTTCTTTCCTCCGATACACAGAAAAGTATCTTTAAAATATAATTCAGCCGAAAAAAGAGAAAAAATTTGCCAAAGTTTATGTCCTGTGTACAGTTTAAGCTAACATAGTATGTGATAAAACCCATTCAAAAGTCATTCTGACAAAATTAACGGAAAATTATGATTTTTAAAATTGTTAGTTTATTTTGTGCTAGATTTTCTACTCAACTTTTTATAGCAAAAAGTTTAATTAGAATTTCTGTACTTAAACTTTTTTTTCCTTTTATGTGCTTTGCTTTTATACCTATTTTTTTTAATTTTTTTTTATAGTCAATAATTATTTGGTCTTCTCTGAAGAAAGCATTTGAAAAATTAATGATGGATTATAAGTCTTTTTGTGTAAGTTATTGAAACTTTTCAATGCATTATTTTCTAATTTGTTTATTGTATGTATTGTCTACCTTATATTTTTTTCGTTTTTGTCTATTCGTCTTATTAATGGGCATCAGAAAATAAAATAATGAATAAGATTTTATTATTGTTTTAAAAAAATGGAAAACTGGGAAAAGTGCAACCAAGTGGCAAAAATTTCTATCTAATTTGTGTAATTTTTTATTGTTTTCAAGCAGGGTTGATTGGTTTAAAACAATTATTTTTCTTAAGAAAAAAAAACTTGTTTTTGAAATTACTTAAGTTTCTATCCTTTGCGTAAATACTTTTAGTTTAATTATATCCGATTGAAAAATCGTAGATTTTTCCTTAAAAATCTTTTTAATATTAAATTTAATTGCTAATGTGAGTTTTTATTATTTTAAATGAATGTATGTATTTATTAAATGCTTATTTATTCTTCTTCTGCAGCAATATAATCATAATAAGAGAAGAGTCAAATCATAATGTTTATAAAAATTCTTGAATAATACAGACCATCATCATTTCCGTGTTCAGATAATTTTGATAATTATTCAAAAAATGCAATTATAGAACAGAGATCAAGAGTTTCTTCTGTTTTTTAATCTTATTAATTATGCTTTTGGTTGTAGCAATTTGGGAGAAAGGACATGATCATTTTACATGTACATATGTAAAATGATACACATGTTGTAAATTGAATACTGTTAAGTGACATCAACTAATCTTAAAGTATGCAATTTTTCACATATACTAGCAAACAAAGAACTCATTCTTTTACACATAACTAATATAGCATTTTACCATTAAATTAAACCACTAAATTTTTATTTGCAAGTTAAATTGAAATGTAAAATAATGTATAATCATATTCAAATTCTTCAGTTATTCTTTTTTATAGTGTTAACAATTAGATTTAAGGAAGGAGAGTGGATAATTTTTATTGTTTGTTGATTGCAACAGTTAAAAATTGAAGAAAATTCATGATTTTACTTTATAATAGCTTAAATACCTTTTATTTTGAATGCAAATTATTACTTAATCTTTTATTTTTAAGTAAGCCAAGAAAAAAAAATCCAGTTTAAACCAAAATTTTTTTTTATTATTTATTATTATNTTTTTTTTTTTTTTGGAAAAAAGAAAGAACTCTTTTTCAATTCTTATCAATTTGTGAGAAAATGTTGTGCTTAGTTAATTAGGTTTTGAGTTGACTGAAATCTTGGATCTGAATGACTGACATTTTTGAATTTTCACTTTATACCAATCAATAACTTAAGCTATCTGTTTAAGCTAATAAGTATATGTATTCCACTGCATTTGAAGTATGTTATATTTTTCTAAAAACATAATAGAGAGGGCTCTTTTTCCATTAAAACCAAATAATTTTTAGAATTGGTGAATAAGATACCAGGCTGCTAATCTCTATTACCACTTCCGCAAATCTGACTTATAAAATATATATGTATAAATACCACGCTTGATCCAATGATAAGATTTCAAAGAGTAAACTTCTAAGTATGATGGTTGAAACTTAAATTGTGGCTACTTTACATTTATAATTGATATAAAAGATATACGTATTACCAAGTTTTGCTGTTTAATGTTTCTTTTTTGAATGGCCAGAGTTACAAAAAGACTTACACCACAAGAGGGGAGGAACAAATTAGAACATAAAGAGAAAAAAAACATAACAAGCATGATGAGAAAAAGTCTATGAACCCAATACCTTCGGCACCAGTAACGATCACACAAAGAGGTGTCCTTTAGAGCCGAGCAACTGCAAAGGTGGTCTACATCCATCTCTTCCTAAAGGCTGTTATTTAATGTTAACAGCAACATTGTGACATATGTGTTACCAAAGTGAAAATTATTGGATATCATTAGTAATGTCTATTTAGTTGAAACCTAGAATGGTGCAGTTTACAGCTTGAAGAATCTGAAGCAAATGCCATGAAAGGACTTCTTAACCGAATTAATCAAATCAAAGTCGCAAGGATTTTTTGTCTAGAAAACATTGTGGATGATGCAACATTTACCAGCTCCATTGATCAAATAGTTTGCACTAGAGCATTGTCCTGCCAAACGTTGGATATGTTTTACTAAAAATGTCGTTGCTTCTCTTTCAAAGCTGGTTGCTGGTTGTGATCCTAAAGAAAACTACAGTAATGAATAGTTGACATGGGGATTGCCTTTACCATTGGAATAATACCATTACAGTTTTGCACAAAAATTAGCGTAACTTTCTAATACTTCAGTTCCGAAAGTTATAATGACGCTGTTCCTTTGATTGGTACTTCACTTGAGACTTCTGGTCAGTGTGCATGTTTGTGGTTTTGGAAGGGGGTGTCAATTGGCTCTGAAATAAGATAAGTATATAATTAATTCATAGTATAGGCGGTATTATTTGGTTACATTGAATTCTGTTGCTACGGCAGTGTTGCCACTATTAAAGTTTCAACCGTCATATGCAATTAATTAGTTCTGCCATTAAATTAAGCTATAAAATTATGGATGGTGTTGCAGCAGGAAACGCTGCAAGCTCTTGACTGCCTATACTTCCGGGTTCTTGCTGTGTTTTGAAGTTATTTGGCTCACAACATAATCATTGGCGTTTATAGACTCTCTTGAGTAGTATTTCTTGTATATGCATATTTGTTACCTGATTCATTTGTGTTTAAAATAAGATTTATTATAAGAATTGCCATTCCAAGATGTAAGAATTGCGATTTGAAAAAGAAGAATGGTTATAAAATATTTCTTACCTTGTTAACAATATATCAACTTCGAAATTTAAACCTATATGATAATATGTAAAATGAACTTAGTCTCACTGCTCGAACAGTATGCTAACACTGACGCATAATGATGCAGGGCTTGCACCAAGACCAAACAGTAATAATTTCTAGTTGAATTTTTTTAAAACCTTTTATGATGCATTTTTTTCTGCAAAATATATTTTTTTACTAATTAATCACTATACGCATTGGCAAAAAGGTTGTCGAATTTTTTTTTTGGAAAAGCAACTGTATTATGCTTTCATCTTGGACATCTTTAACTGTTAATCCTGAACTGCTCGGCATACAACTTCACAGACATATTTGAATGCTACTCAGACACATTCTGTGTAAATTCTTTTGATGACTGAATAGACATTGAACAGTCAATCGAGCTCAATATTAACATTTTCCGATTGGTACAACAATGGTGTTTGAAGGAGATTGTAGGCTTCATCATACACCTGTTTCAGATTCACAAGTTCCTACATGAAATATGATTTGAAAGCTAGGCTTCTTTTTTTTTTACAATTTTACATGAATAATGAATGAATCATTTATACTGCGTGGAAGACAGTCTATGGTATTGTGAAAATCATTGGGTATGTTGACAGTGGATCTTTTAATCCCTAACTGGTGATCAACACCCAGTTCTTGTATTTGCGGATGTGCCAACTCTTCCCGCCCTCCGGAATTGATTCGAAAAACTCCCGAATTTTACATTAATCGACACCCAAACTCAGAATTGCCTTTTTGTCCGCTAGTACGGAAGTTTTGTTTTTCTTTCCGCATGAATTTCATTCCCCCTTACATTATTTCATACCCTTTTATCGAACTACTATCTGCCAGAAGCGTAACTCCACATGCTTCATTCCCGCCATCTTTAACACTCCTATTTGACCCGCCCCCTTATACTAAGATTCGTAGGAATCTTCCTCTCCTTTCGTGTGGAGTTGAATGCGAAGACGTCACATGACGATGTCGAATACAGTAGGGTACGGGACGTCAGTACAGGAGTGTGGAAACTCTTTCGATAGTTGGAATTGATATTGTATCTTGCTGATTTTCTAATTTTGAGTGCATATTTTTCAACGGTTGGCAACAATTGGATCGTTCTTTTTTTTTTTTTTCAACCATTGGCAACAAACTGTTGTAAACTAATTTGTTTACTAAAGCAACGTGATTTCCGTTATTCGTTTTGTCTTCGCATATTTAAAAAAAAAAAATTTTTTTTTTTAAGGATGTCGAAACGGAAATATGCAACCAATTTTAACAAATCCTAACTAATGACTTTAGCAAGATTTGATTTTTGTGAAATGTAAAGAAAAATTAGCTAATGGATTGAATCTGTGTTTAAATAATTTCCATTTAATATTCTTCCACAATTTGTGCTCTATTAGTGTGTAAAAGTCGCATACCACACACCTTTTTTACCCCTCCTGAAATCTTATTAGGGAAACTCCTGGCTGTTAATTTTTCTAGGTTGGCACGTCTGTATTTTTCAGGAAAGGGGTTTGAAGAGCAACCGTTCGCTCTTCGGTAGGGTTCAATTCTCTCAACCACTTTGTTACTTTTGTGAAGGACGGACTTCATGCATGCTTGCGTTTGCGAACGGAATCTTTTCGTTTCCATTCCATAACTCTCTCAAAAGAGCTACTCACAAATATTTTTAACACGTTTGAATCTACTCATTTGTTTTTTAATATCTTTTTATTTAAAAATTTTTTTTTGTCCTTTTCCGCATTTGGAGCAGATGGTTGCTCAATCCATGGCAAAGATTATGATGGTCTCTTCTAAATGATTTCTGCAATGCAAATTCTGTATAAAAAAATTTCTGCCTCCCAAAATTGATCGTAGTTAGAGGAGGTAGCAATACAGAGGTGGTCTTTCCAGCCGTTTTCACTGTAGTTTTACATAATTTTATTGAATATAATCTTTAAAGAATAACAAAACTAAGAATACTGTAAAACACTGTGCTTAAGTCAAAGGGTTTTCATTGTTATTATTTTTTCATAGTATTGTATTATTTAAGGTTGTAAACCTTAAAGCTAAATAGGGTGTCTTAACTTAATAATCAGGATTAACTAGAGAAATCGGGGAGGGGGGGTATTTTTTCTGGTTAAAAAATTAAGACTGCATTGTTAGGGGAAAATGTATTGTTTTTTATTTAGGCTGTTTTTACTTTTGTTTTTATCTGGACTGTATATTTTGCTTTAGTGTTTAATTTATTATTTTGTTTAATCAATTCATTTTGTCTTGTAACAGAAAGGACAATACTTCTTGTTTTTGTGTAATTAGGGTGGGTTGAAGCTATTTTAAAAATATTAGTACATATGCACTGTTTTAAGTTTTTGAAAGCTTAGATATAAATCCAACATTGATTTTTAAATAATTAAAAAGTTATTACATTTTATTTGAAGAAAGACCATTTATCTTTACTTCTATTATATTTTTATAATTTTTATTGTTTATTTTGTGCTATGATTGACAACTAATTACATTAATAGCTGATGTTATTGTTAAAATAATTAGTAAAATCTTATTTTCTTTCAGGTTTCTTCATGACTTAGTCGAAATAAAACCATCCAGCTGATGATGATTTATTTATAGAACTGTATTCTAATCTAATAATTTTCTACTTGATTAAAAATGCTAACCATTGGTTTAATGGAACTCCTCAAGTCATGGGGAGAGAAAGAACGTAAGGAGTTCAAAGATTACTGCAAAAATGCAGTTGACAAATTGGAAGGATCCAGTCTTACAGCTGGAACTGAGCAAAGTGACATAAATTTTCTGTTGTATGGCATTTGTAAGGAATGTGTTTTTAGTGACTTAACACCAGAAACTGTTGTTGCAGCATTAAGCGAAGTAGAACCTCTTCATCCAGAAATGACATCGCTTATTGCTGACATATTAACAGTCTTAGACACAGAATCTTTGTGTAACGAATCTCATACAGTCAGAGAGCGTTTTTTCAGTCTGTTGAGACTTTGTAATAATCTTATAGTTCCTGAATTCATCTTGAAAGAAAGGTTAGAATTTGATACTTTAGGTGATGCTGATATTATGAAACTTTTAAGAAACATCCAAACTAAATACATTAAGACAAAAACTAGATTGTTTTATAAGCAGCAGAAATTCAATTTATTCCGAGAAGAAATTGAAGGATATGCCAAGCTAATCACAGAATTGGATCCTGGTAACGGAGAAGACACAAATGCGAAGCACTCTTTAGAAGTTATTCAATCACTGATTGGATGCTTCAATCTAGATCCTAATCGTGTTTTGGACGTCATTTTGGAATCCTTTGAATGCAAGTCCTGTCATTCAGAATTTTTTATCCGTCTTTTGAAATCATACTTTTGTAATTCTGAAACAATAAGTCAAGTTATTGGTTTTAAGTTTGGATTCTATCAGCAAGGTGATTCTAAAGAAACTCCTTCATCATTGTATCAAGTTACTGCTTTTCTTTTGAAGTCCAAAGTCATTGAACTGAACCAATTATATGCTTTGCTCAGGCCTGATGATAGCAAAATTGTTGAGGAACATAAGCAAGAATTAACTAATGCTCTTGCTTACATCAAGCAGTTAAATAGTATATCCACTAGTGCCAACAATGATTCCAATAAAGATAGCTCTGAAAATGATTCAGTTAAAGTGGACTCAGAAGACAATCAGAAATTAGGACTCTGTGCTGCTTTATTAGATGTTGGTGACTGGGAACATGCTAAGCAATTGATTGGATGCTTTCCTGATCATTATGCTACATCCCATTTGTTTATTACTAAAAAACTTTGCAATCTAATTCATGTCCTTATTGATGATTTTTATAAGTCAGTAAATATCTTCCCCAAGATAACTGAACCAAAAAGTTGGGAACTTGATTCTAGGGTCAAAGTGAACTCTGTTAAAAGTTTTGCTGAGCTTTTTACAAATGTCTTTGAAATGATACTTGCTCTTGGTCCTTATTTGCATCATGACCCTGTATTGATGGCAAAAATCATCCGCCTTTCGAGATATTGGTTATGCACCAAATCTCGTGAACCACTAAATGGCGTATCTGCAATTTCAGCAATAATAGATCAGTCTCTTTTACCTTCACTGTCCTTATTAGAGTGTAACTGTTGCATGGCAGAAGAGATGTGGAGTTTGCTTAAGCTTTTCTCATATCAAAACAGGTATTCTTTTTACTATAATTGGAAGATAAATGCTAATGTAACCCATCCTATGTTGATAAAAGTCAAAGCTGATGTTTTGAAGAAAGTAAAGTATATCATGAAGAGGCTGAGTAAAGAAACTGTAAAACCCACCGGCAGGCAGATTGGAAAACTAAGTCATTCAAATCCTGGGTATATATTTGATTATATTTTGTCTCAAATTCAAGCTTGGGATAATTTAATAATGCCAGTTATTGATTCATTGAAGTATTTAACTTCTTTGTCTTATGATGTTCTGGCTTGTTGTGTCATTGAAGCTCTAGGAAACTCAGAAAAAGATAGAATGAAGCATGATGGCACCAGCATATCAATCTGGTTGCAAAGTTTAGCTAATTTTGGAGGAGCTGTATTCAAAAAATATCCCGTTGACATTTCAGGACTTTTGCAGCATGTTGCTAACCAGCTTATTGCTGGTAAAAGTCTTGACTTGCTGATTCTCAAAGAAATAGTTCAGAAAATGGCTGGCATTGAGGCGAGCGAGGAGATGACCCTTGAGCAATTGGAAGCAATGACTGGTGGTGAACTTTTAAGATCTGAAGGTGGATATTTCAATCAATTGAGGAATGTTAAAAAGTCCTCTCAACGCCTGAAGGAAGCTCTTCTAGACCAGGATTTGGCCATTCCTCTTTGTCTTTTGATGGCCCAACAAAGGAACTGTATTTTATTTCATGAGCAAGAAAACAGCCATATAAAGCTAGTTGGTAAACTCTATGACCAATGCCAAGACACCTTAGTTCAGTATGGTAGTTTCTTAGCTAGCAATCTAAATATGGAAGATTATGCCAGTCGCTTGCCTCCTGTCTCTGCGTTGCTAAGTGAATATAACATAAATGCTGATGTAGCATTTTTCCTTTCAAGGCCCTCTCTAAATCATGCTATAAATTCTAAGCTTGATGAGCAAAAGAAGCTAGATAAGAGCTTGAAAAACTCCAGTACCTCACAGAGTGTGAAAAAATATCTTGAAATAGTAGATTCTATCATAAGCCCCATTGTGAAATCTGTCAGGTCTAATCAAACACTCAAAAAAACATGGGAAGATTTGAATCCTGAATTTTATGTCACTTTTTGGTCTCTCAGTATGTACGACTTAGTTGTCCCCACTGAAAGCTACGAGCGAGAGATAAATAAACTAAAAGCTGTCCTGCAGAGTGAAGATAATAAGGAAGCTGGTAAGAAGAAAAAGGAGAGAGAAAGATGTGATGCGCTTATTTGTAAATTAGTTGAGGAAGAGAAAATGCAAAGTGAGCATTGTGCTAGAGTCATAGCACGATTAAATAATGAAAAGGATGAATGGTTCTCTTCAAAAGCTGCTAAAAATGAAACAATCACTCAATTTTTGCAGTTGTGCTTGTTTCCTCGCTGCATATTCACACCTGTAGATGCCTTGTATTGTGCAAAATTTGTACACCTTATACATTGTTTAAAGACACCCAATTTTTCTACTCTACTTTGTTATGACAGAGTCTTCTGTGATATTACTAATACCATTGCTTCTTGCACTGAAAATGAAGCTAATCGTTATGGTCTTCTGTTGTGCTCCATGCTAGAGACTGTTATGCGATGGCATGGCAGCAAAGCCACTTTTGAAAAAGAATGTGCTAATTTTCCTGGTTTCATGACAAAATTCAAAGTACAACAACCACTACCGCAACAGCCAGCAGTAGCACAGCCTGATCCTCCTGTTGATAGTATAGGTTATGAAAACTACCGTCACATATGCCATAAGTGGCATTTTAAAATAACCCGGGCTCTATTAATATGTCTGGATTCTGGAGATTACATTCAGATTCGTAATAGCCTTTTAGTTCTGAGGAAAATTGCTCCTCACTTTCCAGTTATCACTAGCTTGAGCCTTGCACTCGAACGAAGAATGGAGAAAATAAAAGCTGAAGAAAAAGATAAGAGGCCAGATTTGTTTGTCCTTGCTACTGGTTACTCTGGTGTTTTGAAGGCAAAGAAACCAACTCTAATTCCTGGGAGTGAGTTTCATCAAAAAGAACCAACTAAAGACCCACGACCTGCCAATTCTAATGCTCAGCCGAATAAAGAATTACCTGTTAAGGTAGAAAAAAAAGATGGAGAAACTTTAAATGAACCATCCAAAGAAAGAGTTATAAAAAATGATGCTAAAGCTGACTCTACCAAGACAAAGGGAAATTCTTTCGAAAAATCGAGTTCATCTCAGTCTACGGGAAAGCGGTCATCCTCTTCCAGATTAGAAGGCGAGCTTAATGGCATTGATGCCCCCCGTATTAAAACTGTTCGAGTGAAAGAAGAAAAAACAAGCAGTGATAATTCTAGCCCGTTGAGAAGAGAAGAAAAAATCATAACCATAACAAAGACTGACCCAAACAGTATCAAAGACGAAAAACGAGATCGTCGAGAAGACAGGCACGAAAAACAGCCTAGTGCTAGATCTAGTGAGCGAGAAAATTCAGAGTCCACACGGGACTCTCACTATCGTGTCCTATTAGATGTCGATGGTGAAAGAGAGCATAAGCGCCGTCGTGCCGATGGTACCTCGTCCAGAAGCCCTCGAGATGGGTCAGAGAGAGAATCTCGCAGTTCTGATAAAATATCTGACGAAAGAAATGGTGGTCGTGATAAAGTTCTTGTGGAAGTCAAGCCTCATAAAGATTCTGAATCACCTTTAGAGAAATCTAAGGTCAAGGAAAAGAAGCAAAGTCGCAAAAGAGAACATTCAGACGAAGGCAATCTGGAACCGAGAAGAAGACGAGCAAAAGCTGACAAGGAAGATGAGGATTCTGCGAAGCGTTCTAGTGAAAATGAAAGAGATTTGAGATCTCGGCGTGAAGAAAAGTCTCCTTTAGTGTATGCAAACAACGTTGAAAGACGTGAAGAAAAGAAGCACCATCGTTCTAATTCAGCATCTAGTGTTAAAAAAAGATCCTAAAGCATATATGGTCTATGCAAATCACATGTCTTTAATGTTTGCTACTAAATTTTTGCATTTAAATGAAAAAAATTTTTAAACACTTGGAAGAATGTTTATGTCTGGTATTGCACAAATTTTCACACAGGGACAAAGTAAATTTAGTGTGATTTGAATGGAGTTTTCAACATGCACTATTTTTTGGAAGAAAAAAAAATTGTAAATAATTTAGTAATGTGTGTCCTGTTTTGGGGGTATGTGTAGAAACTGTCATTATCAAACGTATTTCATATCTGCTAAGTTGTCTTTTTTTCCTTAAACCATGCATCAAGTGAATGAAAAATATTGTCATCTAAGATTTGTAATTAGGGTTTTTCCTCCCCTTTTTATTTTATGCTATTTGCCATATGTTTGTACTGCTCTATGGAGTATTATTATTATTTATCTCTAATATTTTAAAGACTCATATAATAATATATGTTTAAATTGTACATATGTTTTAATGTGATAGTGTTCTAAAAGTTCTTATGATCACCTGGCTGATCAGTGTATGTATTAAACTATTATATTTCATGTGACACACATTTAAGTTCACTGATCTTAATTTGAATATTAAATAATCTTTATGGTTAATTGAAATTATGTTTAGAGCTTTTGCTTACTATATTCTGTTCTTCAAACAGTATTGAATTACAATAAACATCTAGTTGCATTCTAAAGTTTAAAAAAAAAAATTTTACTATTTTCTTATACTAATATTTGAAAGTTCTGAGATTTAAGTAAAGAAACTTTTATCTCAATTTTTTCCCCTATTTATTACTTTTTAACTCTGCATGAATTTCTTTCCTAGTTTATGATAAAAATAAGTCATTTTTTAAGTTTTAATCATTTAAAGGATTTAATCTGATTATGTTTTTCGCCCAAAAATTTTGGCAATAATCAAGATTCAAGTAGTTGTAAAACATATTGATAATTTAGTTTTATTTATGCAACTGTTTTTCATATTTTGTTCATTTCACTTGCAAAGGGCTTCTACTATGTCAGCTTTTTAAGTTCCTTACAACCTAAAAATTTGGCAATTAGGTTTAATCAAACACATTTTAATGAATGAAATGGAGCAACCTATTCATAAATATTAAATAAATCGGGAAATTTAGTTCATATAATTCTTCATAGTTTAGCATTTAGAAAGTTTAATCAATTTGATATAATTTAATTTAAAATAAGGGGACGAATGAAACTCCTCGCCAAAATATAGGATAGCTAAAATTTGTATCATTGATTAAGACGAATTTGACACATTTATGTGGTTATAATAACAATCTTTTGTTTAAAGTTTGGCAAACACTTTAAACAAAAACTCTATTTTAAAGTTTAACACATATTTTAGAGCGTGTAATATCATTACAAGGCAAATTTTTGCAGCTAGTAACTTTAATTAAAAGAGTAAACATTTTCTATTTGCTGCCTATAAAACTATTAGTATGTAGTGAAAAATAATGATAATTTTAATCAATAATAATTTTGTTTTTCACATAGTGTGAAAATGCCAAAGCATAATTTTTACTTTATTTTGCTTTAAGATTTAATTTCTGTTCTACAGAAAAAACTTTTTAAAAAAGTAAGTGCTAGTGTTTAATGTAGTACAATAATCTAGAACCTATTTCTTTTAATTTGTTTAGCCTGCAGAATGCAAAATCATTTAGAATTTTAATGCGTTTCATAATATGTAGTAATAAACACCCTTTTCATGACAGTTTGTGCGCGCTTGTGTAGGATATATAATTTGAGAGTATTTTGTAAAACACAATAATAATTTGTTAACAGTAACAAATTTATTGACTGTATGTTTCTTGTAAGCAAATGATAATGAAGGGGATTTAGTTGTTTTAAAAATTGTATTATATAGTAAGTCCATTTCTTTAAAATTTAGAAGATTAGTTTCGTTTTTCTATGATGCCTGATATGATATTATGGTTAAAGAGTTGTTTTTTTTTCCCTCTTTGTTTATATAAAGAAGAACTCAATGTGAATAATGTTGTTTACAAAGCATTCATTAGTATTCATTGATGATGTGTATAATATGTGATGTATTTTTGAAATATTCTTCATAGTGTTTCATTGTCCATCTTCCTATCATGTTTCATGTTCATTAAAACTTGTTGGAACTACAATTTCGTTGACTTATTTTTTCCTCACTTATATTTTTTTATTTTATTTAGGCTGTTCAAAATAATAATAGTTAAATAATTTATTTTGTTCTTTAGAATTTTGGCATTTGCTATCCAAAATTTTGGGCTGTAAAATAGGGATGAAAGAAGTTACCTATGCCATGTGCATGCCTCCCAAATTCATTTAATTTATTTACATAAAATTAATTTCATTTTAATTATGCTGCTATTGAATATCCTCTGACATAAATGTTGAGTCCACAGTTCTGATTCCTATGAAAATAGCTTGGATTTGGAGGGAAATAATAAACTTAAAATACTTTTGAGCCAGTGTTGTGCAAAGAGGGAGGGGGGGGTGACAGCCCAAGAGTCAAAATGAGCATCTGATGAACAACTAATTACAAAAAAAGTTTTACCTGTTGCTCAATAGGTAGTACTTTTTTTTTTGCTTAAATCATTAGTTTAAGTGAATTATTTTTTAAGGAATAAAATGAATTTTTCAGCAAATTATCACGTTTATATCAACTTGCCTTCGTGTATGTCTGTTTGGGTGGAATTTTGTAATCGATTTTAAACTAACTCTCTGACTAGCTACAGACTTCAAATTTGGCACATAGTTCAGAATTGGATGACAATGCATGAAAATGAAGAGAAAAAAAGACGTACAAAGTAAAATAAAATTAAATAAAAATTATTATTTTCGCGATTGTCTTTTGTTGTCGATTCGATTATTTCAAATTAGTGTCACATGAATTTGGAAGTGAGTACAAAATTAAAATAATATTTTTAAAAACCTCGTTTTTGTAGTGGAGAATGATAATTAAAAAACAAAAATTTGAAAAACGTGGGGCGCATTAAATACATAACAGTATGTGTGCTCATGAGAATATGTGTATGTATATCTGTAATTGTATGAGTAAGAAAATGTGTATATGTACTGTTATGCATTTCTTGCGCCCCACGTTTTTCAAATTTTTGTTTTTTAATTATTATTCTCCACTACAAAAACGAGGTTTTTAAAAATATTTTTATTTCGATTTTTAGTTCTTGGTTATTAAACATTCTTACAAGTAAGAATTTTCGCTCAAACTTTTTTCATCTACAGCATAATAGTCAACATTCATGTTAAACTATTTTATTTTAATCTAACAATTGAAAATAAACTACGTTTCTTGCATATTTAATAATAAAGAATGGTGTTAATAAAGTAAGGAACAATGTGCAAAATAAAAAATATGTTAACCTTTAAATAACTTAAATTCGGATGATTACATTTTCAAAACTAAATACCGGTCATAATGATACGAAATGGCGACCACAAGTATGCTAATTAATATTATTGCTAACTATTGACAGAATCGGAAACCTGTTTTTCTTCTCGACGTATTTGGGTTTTAAATATCAGGAAAATATAGACCCAATAGTTAAGGCCAAAGAGCAGATAAAAGATAGGTTTTCTTAATTTAGTTTGTCTTAAGATAATTTTACTTAAAATAATAAGGTGAAACTAAGAACCTTTTGTCTGACCAAAATTTTCATCCGAAATTTTTTGTACTTGAACGATAACTAGTGTAGCTTTTTTTCTACTACGTTTTTGACAAGAATTTTAATATATAGGATAAGTGCTGTGATTATTAAACGTTTTTCTTTTTTTGTTTAATAATGAATATTTTCTGGAATATTAGAATTTTTGAAATGAAATAAAATACAATCAAATTATGAAAATGAAAACTTAGCAATATTTTTGATATTAGATCGGTGATAAAATGGAAAAGAGAGTTGTGTGGCAAGACACCTTCAATGAGCATGTTATATTGTGCTTCAATTTATATCTAATTTGGATATGATACAGGAGGTAAATACAATCAAATTGTGAAATAAGGTTCAATAAAATGAGGAAAACTTAATATTTTTGATCGGTGATAGGGGAAAAAAAAAGAGTGGTGATAAAGAAGGAAAGAGTTGTGCGGCATAACACCGTTAACATTTTCACTTCATATATTATGATTTAAATTGTGTTAATACGATGGATTAAGTGAAATAGGGAAAGTTAAATCTTGCTATCTCTCCAACAGCTTATTTAGATAAATAACTCTTAAGAAAAAAATTCTCCATTTGACAAAGGGCGAGTCTACTACATCCACCTCTAAACGTTGAAAAGGGAGGGGGGTTAAGATCATAAAGGATGGCACAATAAGTGAGGCTCACTTCAGCGACCGTGACCTCCAGGTCATCTGATTTTAATCTAAAGAAGAGCTGGGAATCGTTTGGCAAAGCGTTTCACAAAGATGCGGGTGGGGACCTCTATCGGTAGGAAGTAGCGACGATGACGAATAAAAAATTGCAGTAGTACAGGTGGAAATAAAAATTAATCTCTCACTTCTTTTTTTCTTTTGCAGAAAACCGTTTAAAGCCTTGGGCGAATTTATACGATTAAAAGTATACGGGATAGCACTTCATGTTTTCTTCACATAACTTCATTTTTCGTCATGGTAGAATAATTTCACAAGATAGACAGTTTTATTTTGACAATTTTCATAGAAGGGGAAAGGGTCCATAAAAATGTGATAACTACTTTGACGACCTTCTAAAGTAATTATCAAACTGCATCGAGTGTGTCCATGGCAATTACTTTTTCAAGGGGGGGAGAGGTTCATAGGAAGTGCTCAATGTGATGCATTGATGAACCACATTTCTTTCAATTAAGAAATTTATTTTAACTAGCCCGTTCCCTTGTCGTAGTGGCTAGCTATATATAACAAGCCACTATTTTATTAAATAAATTTAAAATTTATAGAACATTGAGGTTACCCCTGCAAAGGGCGATCATTATGGGGGTGGTTAGCTCTTAATCAGTAAGTCCAATAAATCCAAAATGAAAGTAAGCAAAAAAACAAAAAAAATTATTGGAATTTTTTTAAATCATGTTAATAATGTTTTTATGTTTAAGAGCATAACGTGAATTAAATAGAGTGAATTGTTTCGTCGATTTTTATTTATTAATTTCTTCTTTTTTTAATTCCTCTTTTATTATAAGTCTATCGGATGCTAAGTAATTAATAGAAATTCTACTCTGACATGAAAGTCTGATTCTAAATCTTAATATATTTTTCACACATATTTTAATTGATGACTCAATTTATCAGAAACCTGTTATAGCTTTCGTTTATTTACATGCAAGAATTTATTTACTGCCATAATTTTATAATTAAAAAAGTCTTTTAATTTTGAGTAAGAGCTTGCAATTGAATCAAGATGTTTGAAAACTAAAGCTAAATATAATGTTTTCATGGTTGAACTTTATTTTTTTCTGCTAATGTAAGCTATTTTCAGGAAAGTTACTTTCAGGAGAAATGTCAGAAACTTGATCCGACGCTGAAACAGATTGTACATCAGCATTTAAAATGTGGACATTACGTTTATAACTGTTAATATTGTACAGATTTTGTAACACGGGGTGTAATTTCAATTCAGTTTTATGTGTTTATTTTAATTTAGTTTATTATCTAAGTTATTATTACTTTTTTTTTACACTTTAAGATTTATATTTTATACACTTACAACTTAATGATTTGCAATATATATGTAGGTTTATGTACGGAATGTTAAATTAGTTTTGAAAGAATAAATTCCATTCTAAGTATGTAGTCATGTTTAGTGTTTGAGAAAAAGTCTAAAGATAAAATTTAAAATTTTTTATTTCTACTTTATTAATCCAATGAATGTTACAAGGCCATTTTTGTTCTTCTAAATATCACTTTTTTTTGCATTTATTAATTACCTATCGTCCAGTAGCAAAAATCATTCAGTACGGTAATTGGCGCTGCAGATTATTACAGTATTCGCAGATTATTTTCCATTTAAATTTTCTTTTCACTTTTAAAAAGCCAACAAATTGGGAAAATTGTTGAGATTCCTCTTTAAAATATCTCTAAACTTGTTTCGAATAAAAATTGTGAGAACACCGCAAAGAACAAAATATAAAGATTTTTTCTTTTACTTGATAACAGGCTCAACTGTTAAGGTACTTATTCCATTATCATCGTAAAATTCAACTTTAATTTGAGCATAAAATTTTTATGCAAAAATTTTTAAGAAAAAATTTTACCACCTGTATGTTAGATATAAGCTGAATTTTTATGATAATAATAACTGTTATAACTGCGTTGAGGTCGCAAATAAATCTGGATTTTACAAAAATAGTGCTGCGGATTCAATAGTTGGAATAAATTTTTGTTTTCGTAATCTTGAGAAAAATCCCACAGCTTTTAAACTAATTTAATAGTTAGAAATGTTTTGAATCTTAAAATATGAAAAATTTCACAAACATATTCAACTACGTATTTTTGAAACAAAAACTTAAAATAAATCGGTTCAATTATTAATTTAAATATTTTAAAATATTGCAATTGTTTAAAAAAAATTTTAATTTTTTCTCGGAAAAGTATTCATTCGATTTATTTCTAATGATGCGTATATAGTATATAAATATTTAACATATAAAATCGCACACATTAACTTTAGAATTTAAAAATTTTTTGGTCATTGATTAAAGTAAGTAATAAGTATATACCTAAAATTATTTTTCATTGTAAAGTTACTTTTAGAAAAACAAGGTTTTTATTAATGTACAAGTTGGTTTTATTCGCTTTTAGAGTTACTCGTGCTAATTTAAACTCTTACTCTAATTTACCGTAACACTAATTTAAACTAATGTCAATACATCGATACCCTTTTTAATCTGATTCTTTTATTTTTTAAAATATTTATTTTAGTTTCCGTTGTATCACTTGTCCATTCCTTTTCACATTCCACAAAGTTGGATTATTACCTATTTTTCTGTTATTTACAATTTTTTTATTAAAGTAAAGCTTTGCTTTGCTATTATTGGTCAATTATATTTTTAGGTATTGTGGTATTTTTGTACATTTACAAGATAATGATCACACATTATAGAGTACGTTTCTTGCCATATTACATTAGTCGTTAGATTAAGTATCGAC